ATTGTAGGCTTCATTGTTCTTTTTCTAATTTTTTAAGATGAAATGTTAGGTTGTTTATTTGGGCTTATTCTTGTTTTTGAGATAGGCCTGTAATGATACGAACTTTTTTCATTTACCTCTTTTGCTGTGTCCCAAAAGTTTTGATATGTCGTACTATCATTATCATTCGTTTATATGTATCTCTTGATCTCTTTTTCTTTCTTCTCTGACCCAGTTATTCTTCACTAGCATGTTGTTTAATCTCCATGTATTTGTGGTTCTTGCTTTCTTTTTACAGTTGATATCCAGCTTCAAACATATTGATCTGACAATATGTTTGGTATGATGTTAACCCTCTTATATTGGTTGAGGCTATCTCTGTGTCCCAGTATGTGGTCAACCCTTGAGAATGTTCCAAGTGTACTACATAAAAATGTATAAGCAGCTTTTTTGGGATGAAAGGCTCTGTAAATGTCAATTATGTCCAGTTGGTCTAATGTGTCATTTAAGGATGTTATTTCCTTATTGATTTTCTGTTTGGATGATCTGTCCATATCTGACAGTGAGGTATTATGTCCTCTACTAGATAATGTTTTGGTCTGTTTCTTCCTTTAGTTGTGTTAGTAATTGCTTTATATAGAGATAGATATTAATAAGTGTTATGTCTTCTTGGTTCCCTTTATTATTATGAAGTGTCCCACAGTATCTTACTTTACCTTTTTTATTTTGAAGTCTATTTCATCCGATATCAGTACCCCTACTCCTGCTTTTCTCTGAATGCCATTTACCCGAAATATCACTTTCCGCCCTTTCACTTTGTGTCTATATTTGTGTTTGGAGCTGAGATGTGTTTCCTGAAGGCAACATATGGTTGGGTTTTGTTTTTTGATCCAATTTGCAACTTTGTGCCTTTTTATTGGTGAATTTAGTCCATTTACATTTAGAGTGATTATTGAAATCTGAAGCCTTCTATGGCCATTTTATCTTTTGCTTTCTGGTAGCTTAGTGTTCCTATTGCTTCCTTGTCCTTGTTTTTCTGTCTGTTTTTTTAAAAATTTTGTTTGAGTTTTGTGGATTTTCCCTCTGATGCTTTTTTTTTATGTTATGTACTTCAGTTCTGAATCTTTCGTGTGTGGTTACAATTACAAATATGTAAAGGGTAGTGTTTGTGTGTATTTGTGTCAATTTTCTTCTGCATGTGCCTTATCTTCATTCCCCTTAGCGAATTTGGATCTTTGAATCCTCCCCTTTTCAGTCATTGTTATCTCAGTTTGTCCCTATATTATTTGATTCCACTCCTTTCTGTCTTGTAAGGTTTGTGCTGAGAAGTCCGACAGTAATGTAATGGGTTTTCCTTTATAGGTTACTGTCTTATTTTTCCTGGCTGCCATGAATTCTGTCATTATCTTTTGATAATATTAAATAAATGTGTCTTGGAGATTGCCTTTTTAGGTTGAGATAATTGGACGTTCTGTTGACTTCTTGAATTCCCAGCTCCAGTTCATTCATTTGATTTTGGAAATTCTCATCAAATATTTGTCCGAAAATGCTTTCTGATCCATGCTGCTTTTCCTCTCCTTCGTGAATACTCATTTTTCTTATATTTCCTTTTCTTATGGTATCAGCTATTTCTTGTTTTTCTCTTTCATTATTTTTCATTCTTCGGTTTTTCTCTTCTTCTTTCTGATTTATTTCTAAATTTCTGTCTTTGATATCACTGATCCTTTCCTCTATTTGGTCGACTCTATTTCTTAAGCTTTCTATTTCATTTTTCACCTCTTTCATTGTGTTCTTCATCTCCAAAAGTTCACTTTGATTCTTTTTGATGGTTTCAATCTCCTTGCTAAAGAACTGTGTCTGCTCATCTACTTGTTTCTTCAATTTCTGAAGTTGTTTATATGAATTGTTTTGGATCTCACTGAGTTTTTTCAGAAGTACCATTGTGAATTCTCCATCATTTAAGTCACATATTTCTATGTCTTTAAGCTTATTTTCTGGAGATTTTTCTCTTTCACTCTGAGTTGCCTTGTCACCTTGGTTGTTCATGGTGTTTAATGGACTGTTTCTCTGCCTGGGCACTAATGGACATGTATTCTGCTTTATTTTCCCCCTCATAAAGATTTATTATATAAATGTTTCTTTAGCCAGTTTCTAAGAAGGTGCTTTTCATTTTGTTTCTGGTAGATGGCATCTATGCCTCCTGGATACTTGCTTTATATAAAGTCTTAATAATGCCTTTTTTTCCTTATAAATATTCAATCGTCATCGCTACCCCCTGTCTCAGTGTCTGTCAGTGTTAGTGACAGTTTTGGTAGCATTTTCTCAAATTCCCCTGGGACTCCAAAGTGTTCAGTCTTAGAGGATATTGCAGGGGGGTGCCCTCTGGTTTGGAGGATGGGGTCGTTGTGACTCAGCCTTTTGTTTTGCAACCACAGTGGTAATAATTATCTCTTACTTTCTGCCGTCTCCACTTTGCTTTACTTTCTACCCTCGTCTCTGGGCACTCCCACTGTGTGGAGCTCAAATCTCTTTTCAGGCAGGGCTGTTCAGGGAACTCACCGCACCTTCATCCCTTCCCCTCCTCCTACAGGGATTTCCAGCTGTGAAAGGTAGCTTCTTCGTTCCTCCCAGTCCAGTGCCTGACTTTTGTGGTTCTGACCTGTGGTAGCTCTTAGCGCAGGTCACTTGCTCAGACGTGCTTGTGTGCAGTTTAGATGTTATTCGTTGAGTTTTTGATGTTCAGCTTATTGTTATTTCAAGGTGAGAGATTTGGGGACATCTCTCACTTGGCCATGCTTCTGACATCACTCCTAAATTTTTTTTAACTAGACATTTTTGTCTACTAAATAATGTCAGGTACTTCAAAAGACTTGCCACTGACATTTAGCTATAATCTAGTGATGTTCAATAGCATACGTTTCCAATATTTTAATAATTAACTTTTTTAACATTACCACTTCCTAGTGCAGCTGAAATGTCTACAAAGACTTTTTTTTCTGTCTTCTTAAGTTCAGGCAATCCTTTTATACATAGTGGATACTCAGTGAATATTTGTTAAGGGTTCAGTGTTTTGGTGTATAACTGAATTTGCGAATTAAAGACTTTGCAGTGAAAAGTTAATTTTATTTATGTACTGTAATTTCAGATTTATACCGATCAGCCCTTTCTCAATATAGAATTTGCTGCTCCCTGCTAACTTCTTTGGTTTCATTTTGACTCATAAAATCTGGAGTTACGTTTATACAAATTAAAAATGCTTTGGCTACCATATTGGCCACTGCCTGTGAAGATTTAAAAGTGGTTTTATATAGTTTAATGGTTTTAAATAGACTCCTATTCTAGATGAATCAAGTCCCCTATGTCAGATCACATTCATAGCCTCATAACAACATCAAGAAGTTCACAAAAACATGAATAGGCTTGTATGACCCCTTAACAAGGTGTATGACTTGTTTCTACTAGAAACTAAGGAACATAAAAGAGATCTCAAAAGGTTGGAATCACTCATGTGTATCGAATTTTTTTTTTCATTTTTTGAAACTATATCATGTTGGTAATGCTTGGATCTTGATAAGAATGTGGTGTTCAGAAAGTACTTACTTTGCCCATGTTCTTTTGGATCCCTTATGGTATAAAGAGAGAGCCTCATGATTTAGTCATTTTCTGGTGATGTCAACTTCTCCAGTTCATTGAATATGCTGTCTCATTTAAGGGAAGACTTTACCTTTCTTTTGTTGATGAATATATTAGCATGTCATTCTGATAACTGACAACCAAGGTGTATCTATAGGCCTCAGTTTTCATATCTCTAAAATGGATGAGACCAAATGACTCCCTGGGTCTCTTAGAATTCTTAGTTATCTCTTGATGCTTTAATTATGGGATAATCTTGTCATTATACTCTAATATGGGAAATTTTATTTTGCATTAGGCTGCTTTTATTCGTGATGAAATGATGCCAGGAGAGTGGGATGTTTGCGTTACTTCTTATGAGATGATAATTAAAGAAAAATCTGTATTTAAAAAGTTTCATTGGCGATACCTAGTTATTGATGAGGCTCATAGAATAAAGAATGAAAAATCTAAGGTAAGCCAGTTCTTAATATCTTTATTAAAGTTTTCCTTGAACTATTATGTCTGTTTACTTCTGTGTAGTCAAAATTAAAAAAAAGAAACTGATAGAGGATTTTGATTTTATTCATGGGAATGTGCATGCAAATCAGTTTTTAAAATGGTTTTAAAGTTTAAGTTATTGAATACAAAGAAAACAAAAATTGAGCACAGTATTTAATGTAATAAAAATGAGGTGTTCATTTGCTATATCTGTTGTAGCCTAACTGTGCTATGCTACATTATTTTAATATTTTGGTAATATTTGGTGTGCAGATGTTATTTGCATTAATTTATTTTTATTGAGGAACTATCTTATGTGTATCATGTGGATTAGAAAAATCATTTCCTTGAATTATCTGACTTGTGTAAATTAGTGTGGTGTTAATATTAAAAAATATCAATATTTCTTGCCTTTTAACTCCATCAGCAGTAGGAAAAGTATCAATTATTATGATGAATCTCTCTGGATTATTGGGCTACTTTGGGAGAAACAGGGACAGAACTTGAGCAAAACCACCAAGTGGAACATACTAATTTCAAATTTGAACTAATACCCAATAAGAGGATGCATGTTAGAGAATAATTGTTTATTTAAGAGTATTATAAAATGTGCATTTTTATTGATAAGAATACTGTTCTTTTATACTTTTGTGCTTTCATTTTTGTGGTTGTGTATTTAGAAAATTAATATAACTTATCAGAGAAAATGGGCCCAAGTCTAGTGCTTAAAAATAGTGACCAGGCCAAGTTAAAACTTGGCTAGGCATGTAGATGAACATGATTGATGGGGTGAAGGAGATATTGTGTAAAGTGACTAGCCTGAATTCCATGGAGTTTGACTGTTTCTGTGGACCCAAAATGGAGAAAATAAATTTTTTGATGTGGGGGAAGGGTCTCAGGTATGACTATAATCTGCATTCTTGTAAGTGTTGAAATGCCTAGAATATTTTGTTCAGTTGTGCTTTACTGCGACAAGGTCACTGGAACTAGGATATTTTTCCATAGAAAATTTATTTTCAAGATTTATTCAAAAATGTATTGGTTGGATAAAGAACTGAATGTTGCATATTCTAATAAATAAAATAATGTTAACATAATTATTATTTTTCTAGCTTTCAGAGATCGTCCGTGAATTCAAGTCAACTAACCGCTTGCTCCTAACTGGAACACCTTTGCAGAATAACCTGCATGAACTCTGGGCATTACTCAACTTTTTATTGTCTGATGTCTTTAATTCTGCAGATGTAAGTTGGTCATATGTTTTAAGTATAATTTTCTTAGGTTCACAGGCTTATGTTTTCAAAGCATAGAATGTACATTGAAACTTATAGGTCTCTTTCATTTTTAATTCTTTATCTGTGTTTGATTTTCTCAGAAAAGAGCTCTTAAATACAAATTTTCAAATGGGGATATTTAGAAAAATAATATTTCTTTCTTTTGAGATTATCCTCCCTGTTTAACTTTGCCTATATCACATTGCTACCACAACTTAAGATATGAGATAGGCTGAGTTCAGAATAGTACATTCACAATTAAATTGGAAAGGCTTTCTGCATACTGGTTTGGCAGATAGAATCTTTAAAATGATCTTCGACTTTTGTAGGCATTAACATTTGGTGAGTATTAAAGAGCTAATAATATGCGATTCAAAAACAACGTATTTTGTAAATATATGATATATATTTTTATCATTAACACAGGGTTATGAATTGAATGATATAGGGACTTTGGAGCTTGATTTTTCTCATTTCTGATATTAATTGATAATAAAGTACCAAGTTCAGCTATGCATTATTAGTTTATATACCTTATCTTGCTTTTTTTTAATTGTTGGATTAACATTTTCATTAGCATTATATATCTTTGAATCTATATTATTACTCCTTCTAGTGGATATAATGCTACTATGGTAAGGAGAAGCCTAATAAAGGTGTTTTAAGGAAAAACTGCTGATGGAATTCCTGTATAATGGTGTTCAAATTTTGTTAACTGCTCCAGTATTTTATCTGTTTTCAGAAGTAAATAATATTGACCATCACAGTTACATATTTTAAAAGTGCATTTAAAATGAATTATTGTTATATCAGTTATATAAGAATTTATAGACTATTAAGTTTATTTAAAACAAAACAAAACAAAACAAAACAAAACCGTACACTTACTATAGCATTTTCACGCCCCCACTCCCACAGGACTTTGATTCTTGGTTTGACACTAAAAATTGTCTTGGTGATCAAAAACTTGTGGAAAGACTTCACACAGTAAGTAATAGCAGATAAGAAAATTTAGTAATTAAATATATGTAACCAAGCCAAGAAACAAACTGCCAGGGAATCTGTTTGAACTTGTCGTTTGCCTCTTGGCTCAATCTCACTGCTTCTTCCTCTCAGCCTTTCTGACAGCCTCTTTGAGAAACAAACTGCATACTATATCTCCAGCCTCTATATGGAATAGCTTGTTTTGGTTCTCGCCCACAGATAATGTGGTCCTCTCCAGCAGATGCTGTTCACTGTGCCACACCCCACAGGTCCTCAAGATCACATCGGTTTTCTCCTAGTTCCCCAACGCCACTTCTAAGCCACTGCTCTTCCACTGTCATGTGTAGAACTCTTCCTTTGAAGCTCAAGTTATCTTACAGATCCACTCTCCACTCATTCTCTTGTCTGTCACCTACTCATCACCAGGTGGTTACCTCACATTCGTTGAACACCAATTTTTCATTTTTTGATAATAATTTATCATATCCTTATAACTCTTTCACTGTGTTTCTCCTTTTGTACTCATCTTGTTGCCTTACAGAGACCTTTAGTCCCTGGTTTTTCTCCCTGATTTCTCTCCCCATCCATCAGTCTATTTCTGTTGTTGCTTTTTTCTGTATCCAGCAATGAGCCCATTTTCTATAACTTAAGCCACTCTTTTTGTCAGTATTCCCAAACTCCCTTGTTCTTTTGACCTGCCATTTCTGCCCTGAAAGCTCTTCCCTGGAATAATATAACTGTGTCTCTGTCCTCTGGGTTTGGATTCTGTTTCTACCACTTATTAGCAGAGTGACCTGCTCTGTATCGGGGCTGCTCAACTGTACAAGTTGGCACCACTGTGAATTCATATTCTCTAACATAAGCTGGGATTTAATGATGCTACTGATCCTTCAACATGGTTTTCTACAACATTCTTTTCCATTTTCTATAACAGTTACTTCATATTTTCTATAATAGTTATATTACCTTCTCCAGTATCCCTGAGGCTTCTATCCCCAGTATTCCATGCCCTCCTTTCTCAGCAAGTAACATTATTCCTTTCTCAGAGAAAATAGAATTCACTAGGGAAGGAACTGCTTCAAGGATATCCATCTTCCAAGGGTATCTGCATGTGTGTTACCTTCTTTCTGAGTGGAAGAGTTGTTCTTTCTCTGGGCAATGGCTAATTCTTCCATTGTGAACCATGGATCTCATCTCTTCCTATTTCCTTATGAACCTTTCTCTATGATTTATCCTTTTTATTGATTGAATTTTCTACTTCTGTCTCCATATTGGCTTGTTTCCCTCAACATGTAAATATGCTCAGCTATCTCCTTTATTAAATCCAAACCCACATCCATACCCAACCACTCTCACACATGTACAAAGCAGTAACTTCTCAACACTGTGTCCTTCTCTAGCTATGATTCTGTTTTTTTTCCTCGATAGCTATGCTTCTTGAAAGAGTAGTTTATCCTTTTCATCTCTACTACCTAATCTCCTATTCACTCTTTTTCTATATACACCTTTAATTTTTTTTTAAAAAATTGTCTTAGTGGAGTTTTGTGAGGAAGTGGATATAGATACATATTTGCTATTTTTTGTCTGTTGTTTTAAATGAGAATCTCAAGCCTTCTTTACAGATTAAAATATAAAAACTAAAATGTATCGTCTGCCTCTTCCTTTCTCCCCCTACCTTGGCAAAATGTAAGCTTCATGTGGCAGGGGCGCTATCTGTTTTCCACCATATTAAGCCCTATATGCCTGGTCTGGAGGAGCTGCTCATTAAACATTCATCTACTTGAATCCCCAACAGTCATCATGCTGTAAATATTTGTTCAGAGTAAAACAGACCAAGTCAGGAAATAAATTACTTTAAGTAACGGGGAATTTATTCTAAGAATGCAAAAGAGGAAAAGAAGACAAGTCTTCCAAGAATCTTGTCACACAAGTTGTAGTGCATCTGGGCCTCAGATATCAGGAACTTGGTCAGCTCTGGGGACTGGTTATTTTGTCTCTAGTGGCTCCTAGTCACTCCTAGATCCATTGACCACTGGCTTCTATTCATTTCATACAACTGAAACTTATCTTGCAAGTCGTCAGTGATTTTCCAGTTGATGTCTTCAAGATACACCTCTTGGTCAGTATCTTACTTAGCTTCTTTGTACTATTTGCACTTCTAACTACTCCTGCTTGAAACTCTTTCCTGCTTGGTGTCTGGGAGTAAAGAATGGGTTTTCTCTTTTCTTACCTCTTGGGCTGCTCTTATCAGTCTTCTTTATGAGCTGCTCTTTCTCTGTCCCTGAAAGTTTAGTGTTTTGTAGGGCTTTGTCTTTGACTTTCTTTGTCATACATGTTTTCCCTGAGGATCCATTCCTATAGTTTTAGCTACCACCTTATACTTAAAACTCCCAAATTTATCTCTCCATATTTCTTTCCTAAGCTCTAGAAGTAGATAATCCCACTGCTTTCTGAGTGTTCTGCATAAATATCTCACAGGCATTTTAAACTCTTAAGAATCTCTCTTAAACAAATTTAAGAGGCCTAAACCAGAAACCAGAAGTCTGTTTTTACTTCTCCCTTTTCCTTACCTCCCACAGATCTCTAATAATAATAGCTATAGTTTATTAAAGTCTACCGTGGTTAAGTTCTACCACATGTACTACCAGAAATTGTCACAACAGCCTTAGAAATAGGTTTCATTATTCCTATTTAAAAATGCGTGGCATATACATTTGCCATAAATATATATTTTTTGGATGAATGGATGAGAAGCAGGCTTGGAAAAGTTAAGGAACTTGACCAGTTCATGACAGCTAATCACCGACTGAGCTGATGGTAGAATCAGCTTGATCTGGATTTGAATTCTGCTTCTACCACTTACTAGCAGAGTGACTTTGATGATGTTAATAAAATTGAAATAACAACATTTTCTTCAAAGATTTATTGTAAGCATTCAAAACTTGTTATGTAAAGTTCATGGTGCAGTGTCTGGCACATTGCAGGTGTTCTATAAATGGTAGCATTATTATTTTCTTGTGGTAGACTCTACCTTGCAGGTATTCACTCTTTGTTTCATCTTTTTTTCTCTATTCATTCATGTCTTTCTTAACATTGAACCATTTTCCTCTCATTCATATATTTAACCACTTTGAAATGGCTGAATTTTATTTCCCTTTTAGAGACTCTCTCAGAACTATACTCTGACATTGCATTTCCTCTAAGGTTTAAAAATCGTATATTATAGCAGATTTTTTAAAAAGACTCTTTTGCACTTATTCAATAGTCAAAAATTTTGTTGTCTCAGTTTTTAATGTATTTTGTGCCATCACAAAATACATTAATAGATTAAATAGATTAAAATGTTTAATTTAGGGTTTTCTATTAGATGTTTTATAAACTTCTATAAAAACTATCACTTTTTAGGTTTTAAAACCATTTTTGTTACGTCGTATAAAAACTGATGTAGAGAAGAGCCTGCCTCCTAAAAAGGAAATAAAGATTTACTTGGGACTGAGTAAAATGCAGCGAGAATGGTGAGCTATGTTGTTTCCATTAGAATTTATTTATATATAAGGGTTTATTAAAAATTAGCTTTGTACTGGTTCAGTTACACCTTTAGTTCAAAAATTACATTGTCTGTTTAAATGGCGAGTTAAGTTCAAATATTTTAATAGGAAATTGATAGTATTTTATTTAACCTTTGGGAAAGGGCACTGGCCTTGGAGTCTATAGCTCTGTGTTTGAATCTTGTGCTTCACCTCTTAATAGCTATGTAGCTTGGGCAAGTTATATAACCTTGGTTTCCTTTCTGTAAAATGGGGATAATAATACCTAGCTTATGAGGATGCTGTCAGGGTTTAAAGGGATAATGTCACTGGCAATTTTATTAGTTATTCTTGTTTTTTTTTTCCATCAGTGAAAATAATAACCATAAGAATAATCAGTAATAAGATGGTTGAAAATATCAGTGAATGTGGATATGACAAAAATAGAAGCTGGAATGGTTTGATAAATGCAAGCAAAGCAGGAAATTGACAAGAGGAGTCACAAGGAATGATAAATTAGATGTTAATAGTGTAATAATGCAGCTAAGAGAAGCAAAATGTTGCTTATATTAATAAAATTAGATTACTTATAACATGTAACAATTTCTCTACTATTGAAACCAGTATAGGGTAATGGTGAGGAGTATATTTCTATGAACTCAGAAATAAGATCAGATCCTGGTTTTGTCCCTTTCTGTGGCCCCAAGTAAGTCATTTCACTTCTCTTAGCTGCCTGAATTTCCATCTGTAAAATGGGGGTGATACTAGTACATATCTCAGAGTTTTTGTGAAGATTTAACAAGATGATTTATGTAATGCCCTTGACATGATACCTGGCTCTTCCACTCAGTACAGGTTGGCTCTTATTGTAATTAAATATTCTTAGTGTTCAGATGGACACATAGGTTTGTTTTAGTCTGGATGAAGGTCTAGAAAAGATAATGAAAAATGTTTATAGGATCAGAAAAAAAAAATGACCTACAAAGACAAGTGTAAAAAAATGCAGTTGTTTTTAGCTCGAACAAGTAAAGTTTGGATGCCAACTTTCAGCAATCATTGTACTTATTGAATATAGAACTTATCTGATATAGTTATCTGAATAGTTATCAGCTGATGACAATTTCTAGTAACAGACAAAAACTTGAAGAGATAGGTTCAAATCTTCACTAGTTTCTTGGTTTTACTGATCAGATTTGCTCTCAAATCAAATCCTGTTGTTTATCTTTAAATGGGAATCTAAGCTGATCACCAAAGGGATATTTCTTGATGGCATTAAACCTTTCTAATAATCGACAATTAATTATAGTTTAAAATTTTAGGTATACAAAAATCCTGATGAAAGATATTGATGTTTTAAACTCTGCTGGCAAGATGGACAAAATGCGACTGTTAAACATTCTGATGCAGCTTCGAAAGTGTTGTAATCATCCTTACCTGTTTGATGGTGCTGAACCTGGTCCACCTTATACCACTGATGAACACATTGTTAGCAACAGTGGTAAAATGGTCGTTCTTGATAAACTGTTGGTCAAACTCAAAGAACAGGGTGAGTTACACATCTTTCAGTTGACATGAAATAACTTATATTAATGAATACAATTTTGCATACTTATTTATCATTCACTCATTCAGCAAACATTTGTGAGTACTTACTATTTGCCAGGATTTGTCCTATGGCCTCGTTATACAAAGGTGCGTAAGACAATAGTCTTTGACTTGGAGAAGCTTACAGTGTAGTGAAGAGGAATAGTTGCAGTTCATTCTGATAAGAGCTGTGATATATTGAGAAACTGGGAGTTGGAGAAGTGGTCACAGAGATGACCTTTGAAGTGAGCACTGGATCATGTGTGAGAGTAAAACATGGGGAAAAGGAGGGGAAAGGTTTTCCAGGGCAATGAAACAGGTGTGAAAGAAAGGGAATGCAGAGTTTACGGTAGTTGGGGTAGAGTGGCAGTGATGAATCTGGAAAGATGGATGGGGCCAAATTACAAGAGGCCTTTTAAACCATGCTTTAAAGAGTTTGGGCTCTTTTGAAGGTGGGGCCGGGGGTGGTGGTGGTCATAGAAGGATTGACTGTGGAAAGTGATGTGATCAGATTTGTAAGGAAGAGAAACTTAGAAGCAGTATGAGAGACAAGAAACAGGAGACTAGTTGGGAGACTATTGCAGTTAAGTCCAGTGAAAGATTGTGTAGACCCATTGCTCATCCTCAGGACAAAGGCAGATGTTAAATCATCTCAATATGTGTGGAGAATTTTGAAGGCCTTAAAAATGTGTAACTCAACAAATGCATCATTCTGTATAGCATTCCTTGAAAGATGTGCATTTGTATCTGTATGTATGTTTAGTGGACTGTTCATGTGCTGTATATTTATGTTGTATATGATGCTTACTTTTATTTTTGTAACTTCCAAGTTAGTCTTACACAAGTTGAATAATTTGATTTTTTTTGGTAAAATGTTTTAGGTTCAAGAGTTCTCATTTTTAGCCAGATGACTCGCTTGCTGGACATTTTGGAGGATTATTGTATGTGGCGTGGGTATGAGTATTGTCGGCTGGATGGACAAACCCCACATGAAGAAAGAGAGGTGAGAAAGAGAAAATAAGACTTTAAAAATCAGAGTTCAATTAAGCCATGTTTTCATCATTTGCTAGTTTTGAACTTTGGCCTTTTCTTTAGGTAAATGTATTGAATTTCTCGCTACTACCTCTCTGGGATCTTCAGTTTTGCTTCCATTACACTGACTCTTTACCAATCATTCTTTATTCTTTCCAAGGTCTTCAGAAACATTCTCACTTATCTAAAGGATAATACATCATTACATCCTTACCTCCTCTAACCACTGCTATCTTTGGCCTTTTGATTACTAATTGTTTCTCAGCTTACTCTTTGACCTCTGATTTTATGTCATTTTCTTTTCTTGATTTGCCTCCTACAGTAGGCCCTCACCATTCGTGGAATTTAACAGTTGAGATTTTTCCAGTTTATGAGCAACCCTAAAGACTCATGAAACACAGTAATTTGTAAAGGGAATAATCTCAGTCTTTGTAAAACTGAAATGGGACAACATAAGTGTAGGTGCTAATCATGCATTTGTATATTGGAATACTAAAAAAGTTTGGCGTGCAGAAATGAGTCACTTAGCTAGTGAGGAAGCCTACCTAGCACCTATCTTTCAAATTTGGAAATTCTTGTGTATCTTTAGATTATTTCTCACGAATGTCATGGGTCTAATGTATTTTAAACTCTTTAAAGCACATTTTTTGGGGAGGGCTTTGCTAATTTATCTTCTCTTTTCTGTGATCCTTCAGGACTCTGTCTTTGGCCTCTGTTTTAAGTCTGTACTCATGCTCTGGGCAAAGATCGTGATTTCATGGTATAGTGGAAAATGCATTGAAACTTGGTTTCAGAAGACCTGAATTTTAACACCAACTCCACCACTTTGTAGTATATGCAAGGCATTTAATTCTCTGAGCCTCAGTATCTTTAACTGTATTATAAGGGTAGTATTAATACCTAAGCTTCTTTTTTCTGACAACGTTGTGAGGACCATTGGAAATAATAGGTATGAATGCAGTTTTTAAACTGTGTAGTGCAGTATATACTGCATGTCATGAAATTGCACACAGGCCTTTTTATCTCTCTACTTTAGAGCCCCTTCTCAGGCCACAAAGACTCAGCCCATGGCCCTTTCTTTCCATAGGTGCAGTGGGCATTACTGTTCTTTGTATGCCTCGTTATTGAAGCCTGGCCAGAGCATAGGATAGTGTCTACTGTAGGCACACAGGCCCTTTTCATATTAAGGGTTTAACCTGCTACCCACTGGGGAAACACTTGCGTTAACATTTATAGATGTGGGACTTTTCAAAGCTCATGCTATTCCCTGCTCTACAGTATTTTACTCTTTTTGAAATGGTAACTTGAAGCTTTTTTGGGCTTTTGCTCATTCATTCCTGAAAATGGTTTCTGCAGATCTCATTAAGCATAGGCCATATAGTACCATTCAAGATGACCCTTCTTACTGGAACGAAGATGATACTAAGGCAGAAGGGTAGGTGATTTCTGACCACAAATAGCCAATTTGCAATTCTGACTGAACTCTCTGCTCATGAACAATATGGACTTTGCCTAATTATGCCCAAAGTCTTCTGGTTTCTTAAATTGCATGTATTGACTTTAGATACCACCAAACCAGAGCTGCTAATTTTTTTTTGAAATGCCCTGCTTTCCCATTATGTTGTTGTCTATATGATCATTTCATCTATTTTCCTAGTAAGAAGAGGAAGACCATATCTTTACTTGATTCCTTACTTTATCAGCTGTTAATTAACAGTTCTTTCTCAGTGGCTCTCAGATTTGCCCTTTTTCCATTGCCACAGCTAAATTCAGCAAAGTATTTGATCATTCTCTGAGTCAGTTCCTGTTACTTTTACTTAATTGGCCTCCTCACTTTTCTTGGGAAAGGGACTAACATTTGTTAAGCAACTACTATAAGCTAGGCAACTTATAGTTCCAATCGAATTCTTGCAGCAGCCCAGTAAAGTAGTGGTAGAATTTTCTCTACTTGCAACTGTGTCTCAGAGAGGTTAAATGCTCGCTCAGAACCACATATGTAATAAATGGTAGTTATGATTCATGCCCAGGTTTTTGCTATTTCCTCTACACTAAATTGCCTCTCACTACATCATGCTGCTTTCTATACTGCCCCCTCTACATGCTATACTGACTTGGCAGTGGGAGTCACCTTTTCTGCTTGCAACTTTTGACCATGCCATTCCATTCATTAAAAATATAACGTCCTTTATTTTGTGATTGTAAAAGTAATACTTGATTGCTGAAGGAAATTTGGAAAATAACGAAAACTATTTCCAGCTAAACTTTTTATGTATGTATAATATATATAAATAATTGCTATTCTGTGTACAGTTTATACAAAGCTTAGTATCCTGATACTTTTAAGTTATCACTATATTGTACTTTCCTATATCAGTAAAAAAAATCATTGTAAAAATAATTTTCGTGTAATATTTCATCTTATGGATGTATTATAAATAATTTATCCCCTATTGATCATTTAGGTTGTTTTCAATTTTTCACTACTATAAATAATGCTAAAGTGAAAGTCCTTGTACATAAATCTTTGTGCACATCTCTGATTATTTCCTTAGGATAAATTCCTAGAAGTGGAATTACTGGGTCAAAGGGTATGAACATTTTTAAGACTCTTGATGCATATTGCCAAATTGCTTTCCAGAAAAGTTGTGCCAATTTATACTCCCAGCAGCAATGTATGAGAGTGCCCGTCTCACCGCCCCCTCGTCAACATTGAGTATTATCATTTTTTTAATCTTTAAAAAATGGTATTATATTGTTTTAATTTGTATTTATTTGATTACTAGTGGATTAAATATTATTCTTGTGTTTATTAGCCATTTGTATTTATTCTTCTGTTTATTGTCTTTTTTTTTTGCTCATTTTTCTTTTGGAATCTGAGTGTTTTTTTTCTAATTCGTATGAGATATTTATATCGTAATTTCAGACTCTTTACTAAATATCCCTCAGTTACTTTCCTGATTTTCATTACTTTTCTATTTGCCCCTTTTCACCATATGGAAATAAATCTACTTACCTTCCCCTAAATCTGTTGTTCTCATTCCCATTTCTAAACCATTTTTTCCCTCTTGGTTGGTCTCCTAAACTATACCTTCTTTATTAATCCTTCATAAACTAATGGAAATGAAGTTGAGATATTTGACATTATGCCCCCTAGATATATATCAGCTCTCATTCAATTAAAACGTTTTCACTATTATTGTTTTAAAATAATTCAAATGATTTATTATTCGCTTAGTTAAATTTGTCTATATGATTGTTCTAAGTTTGTCTCTATTGGCATAAGCTTATAAAGATTAGGAACTTTATGTAATATACTTTCTATAGCAATTCACATAGTACAGTATATAGATAGATGCTTAAATATTTTTGAAGGTGGAAGAATATTATAAAGTGGGGTTTTGAGTATGCATGTTAAAATGTTTATTTCTTAAGGACTCTGGTAATATAATTTGATTTTCTTTCTTTTTCTTTCATCTCCTGTGTCAATTTAAAAAAAAGGAAGCAATAGAGGCTTTTAATGTTCCTAATAGTAGCAAATTCATCTTTATGCTGAGTACCAGGGCTGGAGGTCTCGGAATTAACTTGGCAAGTGCTGATGTGGTTATACTATATGATTCAGACTGGAATCCACAGGTTGATCTACAAGCTATGGTTAGTAATCTTTAATGATGTCAGAAATTTACCTTAGCTCAGAATACTATTGTTATTTATATAGCACAAAGACATTTTATGATAAAAAGGTAACAACAATTTGGGGGAGATTTTGCAGAAACTATTCTACCAGGGAGCTATTTCACTTACCTTTCATCATGGTGTCATTTATTGAACTAGAGCTACAACTTTTGTCAGTGTGACACATTTTAAGATAAAGAAATATAACTTAAGAAGTAAAGAGAGTCAAAAGAGCTATGCATTCAAAATCTCAAGAAGTTATTGGACAATTGACTGTCTTTGGAAGCAATTAAAGTCATATGCCAATGAGGCATAGCTTAGATAGAAGTCCTTCCTTTTCTTTTATAATAGAGAATTGAAAAATATTGACCATTGGGACATTTTGAAATCAACATGCTTTGGCATAATTATTACTTTAGCATGGTACTGAACTACCTGTTCGATATGACTAAGCAGGAGTAAGCCCTAGTAAGTTAGTGTGACTGAACTGGAAAACCGTTGATGATAACCTTTATTTCCATAAAAAAATGTTAGAGTATAGCTGATCCTTCACAATTTGCTGATTTGAGTTTGGAATTTTAAATATGTGTAGGGATGTTGCATTCTCTTTGTTCTGTGTTGAAACTGTTACTGGGCTCTAGTGTTTATATTTAGTATAAGGTCTTTTTTGAATCTTGTTTCTTTGATATTTCTTTCTCAACTACCCTCTTCCTTTCACCTATTTGCTCTAGCAGCTTCTGTGTTTTAAAAACACTACCCTTAACTGTTATTTTTTTATTATCAGAACTTTCTACCAGTTACCTTTGCCAACTGTAAACTGTAGGACCAATTCTAGAGCAATATATAGTAAGGATGTTAGTATTCCATTAATTTGTATGACCCTTTACTACTGATTTCTGAATTGCCTCAGCAAGCAGAAAGAGCTGTTTGATGATGAAATAAAGCTAACTTTTGCCACCATAGCAACTCTTGTTAACTACTTTGTCCCTCACTCACAAAACTCTTTGCTAGTGTGGAAGATGTTTGTATTTACTAGCATAAAGTTATTTAGTAACTTAATCTTAAAGCTTTTGGCTCCCTCCAGTCCTTATCTTTTAAAAATTAATTTATTTTTAAATTATAGTTGACATGCAATATTATATTAGTCTCAGGTGTAAAACATAGTGATTGAACATTTGTATACCTTATGAAGTGATTACCATAAGTCTAGTAACCATCGACCATTGTGCAAACTTATAATGATGACAGTATTACCTCTGCTGTACATTATATTCCTGTGATTTATTTTATGACTGAAAGTTTGAACTTATTAATCCTCTTCATCTTTTTTGCCTATCCCCCCTCTCTGTGGCATCCATCAGTTCTCTGTATTTATGAATCTGTTTCTGTTTTGTTTTTTCATTTGTTTTGTTCTTTAGATTCTACATATAAGTGAAATCATACAGATGTCTTTCTCTATCCTACTCATTTCACTTAGCGGAATACCCTTTGGGTCCATCCATGTTGTTGCAAATGGCAAGATTTCATTATTTTTTATGGCTGAGTAATATTCCATTGAATATATGAACATATGTGAATAAATATATATGTGTGTATATATATATATGAATAAGTAAATAGACGTATATACACACATACACACATACATACATACATATACCTCTTCTTTATCCATTCATCTATTGATGAACACCTAGGTTGCTTTCATATCTTCGCTATTGTAAATAACACTGCAGTGAATGTAGGGGTACATATTTCTCTTTTAATTAATGTACTCATTTTCTTTGAATAAATACCCAGAAGTGGAATTGCTGGGTCATATGGTAGGGCTTTGCCTGTTTTCCTTCTGGAAGTTATCCATCAATGGTAAGTAGAATATTTGCAGATTTCTTTTTTCCTAAGGGTCTGTAGATATTCTTAGTAGTCATCATCCTCCTTTCAAAAGTGGCAGGTATAGAGAGATCAGGAACTAATTTTATTTATAGAATTTTATAGCATATGGTGGCTAGGTTATACATTTTATCCAGAATTCCCAATATCTTATATTAGGATCTTTTTCTACTAGGATCGAGCACATCGTATTGGTCAGAAGAAGCCAGTACGTGTGTTTCGCCTCATCACCGACAACACTGTTGAAGAAAGGATTGTAGAAAGAGCTGAGATAAAACTGAGGCTTGACTCAATTGTTATACAACAAGGTATTTATACATATAGACTTAATTAGGTGGTTTGTTTGCAAAAGAAAATGCAGTTTTCTTCAAAGGAGATTACTTTTAATGAAAGGTGGCCAAAATTGGAAACTTAGAGAAAAAGACAGTTTTTAAAACAACATGCTAATTTAAACCTTCCTAAACAAAAGCTTTGAATTTATTATAAGCTATTGAACATCAGTAGCTTATAGTTGAATGTCAATGGCAAATATATGAAGTATATGATATTATTTTGAAGTATATGATATTATTTAGTAGACAGAAATGTCTAGTTAAAAAAATTTACACATGTATTAGAGGGTACCTTTCCATGCAGAGCAATTTGATCTAAAAAGGAAAGTTTGTACATGAAAGAATGTTTCTGACTTTTAACTGAGTTTTACAGAAGGAAATTCATATTGAAATAGAACATATGGAAGAAGAAAATCTTGTAGGGTTGTTCATTAAAATATAACTTTAAAGCTCACTAATTTTTTGTTCAACC